TATCCATGGTAAGAATAATGTCTATAATAAATCCGAAATAATATTCGGATTCATTATTCATTTTTTCTATTCTGTATATTATACAAGAATCATCTCTTTTCACCCGTTCACAAGAGTTGCGTGTACACTCTAAAAAAAAATGCGACTTCTAGGAAGACACGGAAGTCGGTTCCCATTTAGTCGCATAATTGCGCCTATTCTGAAGACACATCATGCGACTACCTCTAGTAGTCACATGCATCCGTCTACTTCTAAGTCTCATGGAAGACACTGAAGTCGGTTCCCATTTAGCCGTATTTTAGTGACTCTTTGAAGTCGCTTTAATGTGTCTTCTGGAAAAGACACATTAAAAAAGATTTTCGTTCCTGTCAAGAATTGAACTCGATCTATTCGCTTACCAGACGAATGTGTTCACCACTGAACCATACAGGCACATTAATTATTAGTCTTATTGGCCTCTTACGTTGACGTTTCATGTGAGATATTAAAAACGTAGTGGAGTTACAAGATGTGACTACTAAGCGTCTTTCTCGTTTACACGTCTTCCATGCGACTTCAACGTGACTTCTATATGCCTACCAGTAGACACATTGAAGACATATAGAAGACGTCTATTATTTTGAGACGCAATGTAGTCATACAAAAGACACTTTTTCTTGGTAGACACATCGCTGAAGTCGCATTTATTTTTAGAGTGTACATAGACGTAAATGTCTTATGGATGACATTGAACGAAGCGTCGTGAAAACGGAATCATGAAGGAACGGCAATGATTTTCGCCAGCTACACTGACGAAAGAACACTGGATTTTCGCAGTTTGACAAAAGCCACATTGGCTTACCTCTCGATTCCCGTGAAAACAATTAAATGATGTAGAATGTAAACATGCTTTTAAAAGAAAAAATGTTGTATAACAAAGCCGACAGTTCTAACTCGTTTCGGTTGCTAGAGTAAAATCATATTATTTGGATGGTTGCGCTATGTATATTAGCGTGTTTGTATAGAACTGATCTCGCTTGGTACAGTGAATAAAAAATTTGGGCTTATATGGTAACAGTCAAAAATGCTATCATCCTTTTTTTGAGACCTGCTCATTCCCTTTCTTTAACGAGGGGAAATAGCCTATACTGTCTTCCACGTACAGTACTTGTAGATGGCTAACTAGAAAGATAAACGTGTATGGAAAGAAATGTCGAAAGAATTTTTCATGCTGAAAAGAATAAACCAATCGAATGTAAGACTTATACCCATTAACAGAGAAAATTACCTTAAAACATTCGAGTTTCACTCGGTCGGCTTAAGATACTAAACAAACTAATTAATTAGGTATCCACACCATTCGCAGAGCAAATCTCTGAACGGTCGAAAATAGTCAATAAAACTGAATCTTGAGGACGCTAAAGTGATTTCGTGTTTCAACAGCCATACATTAAACTGCTACTTCGCAACACTTTTTGCCGCCGATGTCTTTGAGTAAAATCTCGATATTGATGTTTCCACCATGATTTATGTGCATAGTTCTCATCAGACGGCCAAGGAACGTCGTTGCTACGGTCTTAGACGTTTTTTGCGGCAGCTTCACTTTGCCTTAAATACATTGCAAAAGAATCGCAATCAATAATTACCCATTCAAAATAAATTTTAGCTTGAAATATTCTAAATGTGCTTCAACTGCACAAGCGATCTGAATAAATGCCCACAGCACAACCCTCACAGCATTTATTCAGCTCGCTTGTGCAGTTGAAGCACATTTAGAATATTTCAAGCTAAAATTTATTTTGAATGGGTAATTATTGATTGCGATTCTTTTGCAATGTATTTAAGGCAAAGTGAAGCTGCCGAAAAAAAAACGTCTAAGAATCACGAAAGAATGCACTTTTTTTTGTTGGCCGTTAGATCATTGGGTGACATATTCGATGGCGTTTTTGATGGTGGTTAAAGTAGCGGAAGGCTAATTTTGCTAGTAAACAAACAAACAAATAAAGAATTCTGTTCTTTTCTCTCTTTTTCTGCTGAAAACTTGTTCAAATTGATATAAGTACTCAACGGAGCTATGTCGACAAAATCTCATGCATTACTGTTTGTCGAAAAAAAAGGAGAAGTTTACGCAAGACCAATAACAGATATCAGACCTAGTCCTGGGCAAAAAATTAATATCAATAAAGAATATACATTTGTGTTTGAAGGACGAAAGACAAAAAGAGGACTTATTATTTTTCTAGGTAAACACAGGATCTTCTACCGCAGTCAGCAGTCAGTAGTAGGAGAGAAACTATCGTGCGACGAAAATTGAGAAGAGTTTCCTTTTTCTTGGTACCCTGTTTATGTTAGACAATGCCTATCCGTACAATAAATGTTAGAATTGACACTTTCTTCACAGGAACCGAAGCGCAATGTGACAAGAATTTGAAAGCAAGAAGATCTGCTACTCAACAACCTGCAACAACAGCTAAAACGGCTGTAGCCACAGCAGAAAGTTTACCGCAGTCGACGCAGACGGCATTTGATGTAGTCACAGCAGCAGCGAAAACCAAACGAGGAGTAAAGACGCGAATATGCAGACTATATTTCTACAGAAAATATCAGAATCCATGTATTTTTCTTCTTAGGCACCGGTACCTACAGTACCCAGTGAAAATGATAAAGCTGAAAGCAATGATACAACGGCAACTGAGAAAGAAAAAAGTGAGATGAGCTCCTGACACTTTTTTTCTGTGTCTGTACCTAATATAATTAGTCATAAAAAGAGGTTTGTTACATGAACAAAGGTTCAGAAGATACAGTAGTAGAGGAGGGTTGGGCAGGTTGATCTTTTCTAGTGAATGGAAAAGTTAGCTAAAAACTAGTATTGAACAACATTTATTTCCTCTGATTTTTAGGTTCGTCTCATAGTCATGTGGTTGCTGATTCTAATAAAAATCCGGTCAATCAAGGTGCCTCAGGTTCTGCTGATCCATCTCTACCTGTACAGCAATCGAAGGAAAAGTCGATAAGTGAGCTCGATATAAATGAGCTTATTGATTTTTTTGAAAGTATTCATGATGATGAGAGCCGAAAAGAACAAGAAACGACAACAACAACAGATTTAGTTCAAAGAGAAGGGAATGGAGATGAAGAGGAGCAGGAAGTAGTGGATGTGAGCCAGCATGATGATGAGAATCAGGATGGTAATGATTTTGATGATCCGGATGCCGAAAATGGTGAGGTCAACGCTTACAAGCTTTAATACGATGGCTTTATCATTCTGTTTCATTCTATATTATAGTAACACCAACAGTTGCAGATAAGAACAATAAAGAGCGGACAAG